CAATACCTCCTTGATTGGACACAGATAATATTACTATAGTGTAGGTACTATTTTGTATACTTTTAATTAATACCTACCTTAGATTGTCCGGGTTAATACCTATATTAGATTTTATCTATAACATTGGACATTACCTATTTATAAAGTAAGTAGGAAATTGAGATTATAATCTTACTAATAACTAAATTAACGTGTTTTAAGTGATGTTACCGGATTTAAGGTGTTTTAGATTAATAAAAACATCGTCGGCTTTTTTTACACCAAATCGATTTAAATATTTTAAGATTGGGATCTAAAAATAATAATAATAATAATTAGGTTAATAATAATGATAAGGTTAAAAAATAAATAGGTTTCAAGAAATATAACTAAATTATTTAATTAAGTAAATTTTAAGTTTTTCTTGTTTTTTTATTAAATTGTAATTAAAGGTCCGGTTGAACCAACCAATAGTTATTTATAATACCTATACATATTTAACGTGAAATCCGCATTTTCTAAACCTTATTATTTTATTTTTTCCTTATATATTTTTTTTATAAAAAAAGATTTCAAAATATAAATATAAAAATATGCCCGTTAAGTTAAAATCATTCTCATATGAATAGTTCCCCAGATATAACAATTTGAAATTTGTCAAATTTCTCAAAACCAAAAATTGATCTGAATCGTATGTCTGACCAGTACTAAAATATTAAAGAAAAGGTGGATTTCACTTGAAATACCCCATTAAATTAAATATTAAATATAATATTAATTAATTATTTATTTTTATCTATTAATTTTAACTGTAGAAGGAAAACTCGATGGTAGTCGGTTTTTTATGTATGTAGAGTCAGGGGTGCTGATAATGAATCAAGAATATTCCCCAAAAATTTCTTTCCGCGTCCCCTAATTTCATCCCCCGAAAGGGGAGTTTTTTGCTTTTTGGCTCATAACTCGCTAACCGTGAATTTTTTCAGAATTTTACCTCTAATACTTTTGATTATGTACTAAATAAGGCACACGTTAAACCCCATTGCGCACCTATATGATGTGCCTTTTTGCTATACGCAGTGTGCAAAGTTGAGCGTTGCTTTCAAAATCACTTTTTTGTTTTTTTTTATTATAGACCAATTTTAAAAGTAATCGATCCCAAACCTTACGGTAATCAAACATAACCGAATGGACGATTTTTTAAGGTACTAGACTTTTTTCAAAAGTTTCTGCTTTTCAATGTACAGGGGGTTCTTCCCTACAAGTTCGGTCTTATGTAATTCGTATTACTCTCTAATAACTGTAGGGAGGTGAAAATATCACAGCTAAACGCTCGGACACGTAAACTTAATTTTTGGTCCTAGATTACAAATCCGTGCTTGGTTTAACTGTATCAGGTCAAAATTCAAAGATATTGGAAACACCCTGTATAAATTTTAAAAAAATTCAATTTGGCTGGACCCACACATCAGTTCCAAGTATATTGATCAAAAGGAACATGTGTCCCTGAGGGTTTTTCTTAGATAATTTAGAAAATTCAAAATGTTTTTGTTGATTTTTTTTATTGAGCATAATTTAGGATATTATATTAAACAAAATAAAAAGCATGAGAATGTTGGCAAGGGACAAGGGGTAAAATATATTATTTTAAAAATTATAATATACCAGTATACAATACAGTGTTTCTCCGGATCGGATTGCCAATAGGAAAAACTATTTTAGACCTGATACAGCTAAACTGAGCACGGATTTGGAATCTACGACCAAAAATTATGTTTAAGTGTCCGAGGGTTTAGCTGTATATTTCAAGAGTTGAAAATTTACCTACAGTGTAATGAATTAGTCAAAAATGACTAGTTATCACAATTATTAGTGGCTGCTTTATACTTATTTCATGGTTAACCATGGGATAACATTGTATCCCCAACATTTAACAGCCAATTCTTATGTAAAATTGTCCCCTAAATCCGTAAATACCATTAAAAATTATGAAAGTGCAGTCAGAGCTGGGAAAGTTACTTCTGAAAAGTATCTAGTTACTTTTCTATAATACTTTAAACAAAATAACTTAGTTACCTAGGGTAACTAGATCTAGTTACCCTAGGTAACTAAGTTATTTTGTTTAAAGTATTATAGAAAAGTAACTAGATACTTTTCAGAAGTAACTTTCCCAGCTCTGACTGCACTTTCATAATTTTTAATGGTATTTACGGATTTAGGGGACAATTTTACATAAGAATTGGCTGTTAAATGTTGGGGATACAATGTTATCCCATACTTTTAGTTAAAAGTATCTTTAGTTACAAGATACTTTAGAAAGTATCTAAGATACTATATGAAAATATCTAAGATACTTTTGAGTAACTAAGATACTTTTAAGTAACTAAGATACTTTTTAGTAACTAAGTTACTATTAAGTATGAATAAAAACTATACAATTATGAAAATTCAAGTTTTAGGTTATGTAATTACTTCATTAATTCATTCTGGAATTCCCCCAATTTTCTCTAAGAAAGTTACTTTAAAGTATCTAAGTTACTTGAATGTATCTTAGTTACTTTACTGAGTAACTTAGATACTTTTTTAGATACAAGTTACAAGATACTTTCTGTCCAATATAAAAAGTATCTTAGATAAAGTATCTTAGATACTTTAAGTATCTAAGTTACTTTTAAGTATCTTTTTTTTCAAGATACTTCCAGCTCTGAGTACAGTTTTACAGTTACAGTTTTTGAGATATAGTCAATTCCATATTATATGGAAAATTGGCTATATATTAAAAATTGTTCTACTTTCATAATTTTTGACGAAACTTTCGGATGCAAGTCACAATTTTACATAGAAAATTGCTATTGAAGAGAATTATTAGTGGCTGCTTCTTCGCTATGACAGCTAGTCATTTTTGACTAATTCATTTTTAGATAGTATAATGTGTATACTCTAAATGAAATTGAATTAGTTATGTCAACAGCTTGACAAGCTTGACAAGTAACACTGAGTTCAATTCCCGGCTGGGTCAAAACTTTTTTTAAATTTAAATCTATTTGACCATTTCATTCAGTAGAATTTGACTAATTATTAGTGACTGCTTTTTTGCTATGACAATTGTCAAATATGACTTATAATTAGTTATTTTTGACTAATTCATTTTAAGAGAGTACACACCGAAAAAATTAATGTAGTTGAGTTAACATTTGCCTAAATGTCATTTTTAAAAATGTTGTTTCAACAAAAAACCTATTGGATTAATCTATATTTTGGTGTTAAAGCAAAAGTCAGAAATTGTCAAAGTTTATTTGTTCATTTGACAGTTTAAATATTAATTTAACATAAACTAATATTTTGAATTAAAATGTTTATCGTACTTTGATTTAATAGCTGGAATTTGTTGAATCAACTACTGAAATTTTTAGGATTACCTAAAAAAACTATTAAATTAACGTTTAGTTGCTCTTTAATCCAAAACTTTAAATTTGTTCATTTAACAAATGTAAAATGTTACTTTAAAATTTAAAATGTAAAATTTGCATTCATAAAATTGCCGAGAATGGCGCTTCGAACACTCACGCCACGTCATTAGACAATGACGTTTTCTTACATCTCGCCTTAGTTAGCTTACGATTAGGTGTATATAAGATGAGATATCTGTTTGTTTAAGGTGTGTTCCACAGTAGAACTTTCACTACACCATATTGCCCGACACTGTTAAGACCCTCAATACAGGGCGAAACAGTCTTTCGGTATTTGAAGTAGGTGGAACACATGATACAAAGATGTATCATGGGTGGAACACGCTCAAAACAAAAACTCTGGGCGAGGTGAAGGTTCAATTCTTTCTATTTATATATAATAATATATTATTTCCATAATTTTGTTTTGGATACCAACCTTTAAAGAATTTTACATTTTCAGAATGTTAATTTAACATTTTATTGGTGTTAAGTGAATATGCTAAAAAGGTTACCTGGACATTTCAAGAAATTCACCTTAACACCCTAAGAATGTTAAATTAACCAAATTAGCAGATTAGAACAAATATTCTTATTTTGTTCATTTGACTGTTATTTGTTGTTCAATTAAACAATACAATTTGACATTTTTAGATGGTTAAGTAAACGTGCAAAAACCATTGCTTGTATTTAAAGTGCATAAAGAGTTGAATTAATATTTTTTTTGTTGTTTCAACAGCTTATTTTTTTCAGTGCATATAATGTGTTTCTTAAATGTAAATTAAAAAAAAATTAATCTACCTTATTTTCTAAAATTACCCTGTATTTGTTATTTAATTAACTATGCATAAATTAGCTAGAGTAAACAAAAACATGATCCATGATTTTACTTGCAGGCAAATATGCGTGGACGACGGACAAGAGCTCTCGCTCCAATACGGATGTCAATTCTACGAAGTGAGTGCGGCAGAAAACTTTGCGGGAGTCTCGTTGGCTTTCCAGTCTCTTCTGCGAGAAGCTAGATCGGTTCAGCTGCTGAAAGCGCTCCCGATTAGAAGAAAACTTGGGGTCAACAGCGTCTCCAAAGTATTAGGCAATATATTTGGAAAGAACTCCAAAGGAGACCGAAAAAAGAGACCTTCCTTGAGTATATAGATGTAAAGGATTTATCTTCTTAAACAAGTTCCTTATTTATTTAGACCTTTGTTTTGTAAGTTTTAAAAGTTTGTTTTTATATTAAAAACGTTGATTCTGTTTATATAGTATTTATGAATGATTTATAAAATATTGTGCGTTTTACATCCACGCATTGCTGCAAGACTGAAATTGTTTAAAAAAAGTAATTAGATAATTTTATTAGAAACAATTACATACTACTTATCTTATTAAAGAACAAAATTAATTAAAAATAGGTGGACATAGTTAGATATTAGTAGAGCAATTTAATGATCTCAAAAATGCAAAATTATTCAAATAAATAATAATTAAAAAATATATTAAATATAATGTACCTTTAAAAAAATAAATGAATGTAAAATTGTTTGTTTGCTTTATTTATTAAATTTACATAAACCTTTAAAGCATTGTGTACAAAGGATTGTCTATTGCCATTTTTTTCTTTTGTTCCTCTTCCTGTTTCTTTACTTGTTCTATACAATGCCGTAAACCTTTTGCAATTTTTAGTATTCGTTCTTGAGAGTGTTTTGTCACTGGAAAGTCTTCACATGGAACAAAATACCCTGCCTTACTTAAACACACTGGTTGTGACATCACTATACCTCGAGGAAGACCAAAACAACCTTAAATTTAATTAAAAAATATTGACTAAAATGTTACCTTTAATTTTGTTTTAGGATTTACACTTTAATTTTAAACATCACTATACCTCGAGGAAGACCAAAACAACCTTAAATTTAAGTAAAAAATATTGGCCAAAATGTCACCTTTAATTTTATTTTACACTTTACTTTATTAAAAAAAATAAATAAATTGTAACTTATCGGCAACCAATCATTGGTTACCAATGTTGTTATCAAATATAATGCATAATCGCGGACCTGCTATATATGTGGCATATACGGATTTCTTGAAGGCTTTCGACAGGTTGATCACTGCATTTTAATTTAAAAAAAACTGGACCTACTCGGCTTTAATACAAAGTTAGTTAATTTATTAAGATCATATTTATTTAATAGTCCTATATAACAGCTAAAGATCTAAACAATTTTATGCAAACATCCGATATGCCCCAAGGCTCTTACCTTGGACCTCTTTTATTTGTGCTTTTTATTAATGACCTTTGGCCATACATCACTTGCTATTTGCTGATGATCTCAAAATTATTTATAACATTAGAACAATAGAAGACTGATCTTATGTGCAAGAACAATTGAATATATTAAGTAAGTAATTGGTGTAAATTAAATAAACTATCGCTTAACGTAGGTTAATGCAAAATGTGTACCTTTACGAGGAAAAACCATTTTATTATGTATACATACATAATACAATACATATAATACATACATACATACATACATTAAATGAAAAATTTATTAATAGATGTTCTAAAATCATTTTGACACAATTTAAACTTCAACATTCACATTGAAAATATATTATCTACCTCACTTAAAATGCTTGGCTTTATTTTTATAAATTGTAAAGACCTCAGAAGGTTTGGTGCAATTAAAACTTTGTATTTTTTATTGGTGGAATCAGTAGTTTGGAAGCCATACTACAACCAGTGGCGGCTGGTGGATTTTGGGTATACCCATATCTCAATTATTAGATATGGGACCCACACCCAATTTATATGAGTTTATAATTACATTAAATAAACAAGTTCTGCGCAAGCAGAATAAAATTAAAGTTTGCGAAAAAACTTTTTGCTCGGCCGTACCGGCTCAATAGGGCCCCCAATAAATATAATGTAAATTTAATTGGTACAATTTATTATTTACCATAGTTTATCGACAAATTTCAAATTTTATTTAAAAAATCCAAATCATACAGATTTTATATCATTTTAAAGTTTTATTATTTCTTTGAATAACCTAATTTAAAGATGTTATATTTTAAAATAATCTTAAGATATTATATTTTGAAATATTTATTGTATTGTATGTTGTTAATTTATATTATGTCCTAAAATTAAAATTTAATTCTGGTGGGCAATAAAGTTATAAAATAAAGTTTCTTCAAAACACAATAATGTCATTGTTTCTCATAAAATCTAGCATGTAGCAACCTGTTAAAACCATATTTAGGGGGTCTTCTGGTGTGATATGTCGAAAAAATCGATTTATATTTCTGTCTTTCATAACATGTTGTGACAAAAGTATTTTTTTATGACGAATGAATCTGTAATTTAGCCCCCCAAAGATTTCAAGGGCCCCCAAATTTTTTAAAAGCAAATCCTTAAAGTCTTTGAAAACCTTTTTTAGTATTTTCAAAATATTAAATTTGAAAATTCAATTTTTAAAGTTTTACTGATTACAATTAATTCATTGGAAAATCATTATTTCTATCTAATTTTAAAGTTTTCACTAATAGTTATTGGTGTTTGTTTTGACTTCTCAGGTATAACCTTAGAGGGCCTTTTTGATGGTAAATACCTACTTTTATTATTACTAGTAAGCAGTAACTTTAAAAAAGGCAAATCGCTTTAGTTCTTTGCGTTGTGGTCAGAAGCTCTAAAATTTTAAATGGCATGATATGCCTTATGTCCCTGAGTATTATGAACAAAAAAATTAAATTCTATTTACCTATTCCTTGTTAAAATGAGTATTTAAAATTAAAGTTGCAACATCTTGCAGCACATGTTGCAACATGCTGCAACACACTTAGTTTCTTATTAAAATAAAAAATTACAGATTAAAATTTTTTTAAATTGCCTAGAAAATTCTCGAATTATTAAAAAATCTTTTGTCAGTCTTTTTAGTACTACTTTCTTTAAACAATGGTGAAAAAAGATTAAATGATCACCTTTTTTTTATTAAAAAGTGAGTGCGAAAATCATGCAGATTTTCAATGAACACCTTTCGGGTAGGCATGTGAATAGAAGATTTGTTTTGGAGTCCGTGGCGAAGTTACGATAAACAAGTAAATTTCTTTGGACCTGCAGGTGAACGTGAACATCCGGTCAGAAAGCTGCTGAGATAGGAGTTGTTGCTAAGCCGACTTTGAGCACGAGAAAATTACGGTTACTAAATATTATAAATAAGTACTTTTTTTAGTGTAAACCAATGCATCCTGCAGCAAATTTGCTATTAACAGAAAATTGAATTTTTTTGGATTGTGTTATTGTTTCAGTTTTTTTGTTTACCTAATATTGATTACAAATTAATTAATGTTCTGCATTTTTATCTCGATAAACATACAGTGTGGAGGCAATTCGGTATTAAAAAAATGTTTTTGGTTTGTAGTATTCGAAAAGATCTATCTTTTGAAGAAAAAAACATTGTCATGTCATTTCCATGGCCCTTTAAGGTCAAAAGTTATCAGGCAATTTTTAAATTTAAAAACAGATAACCTTTCTGAATAGGGCATATCAAGATAACTTTGTAATTAAATTTTATACAGTCAAAGTCAAACTTGGACAAAAATAAATTTTATTAAGCACTCTATATAAACTCAAGCAAAGATTTTGCAAAAACATTTCCATTTCTTTAGGTATTACACTTGTAAGCGTACAAACCCCCCCCCCAGCAAAGAATCTGTAAAAGTTACACCTCCAGCGATAAATGAAATATAACAAAACGGCAAATGTTATATTAAATTACGACAAATAAATAAAATAAATACTTATGGTAATAAAGCTCATTAATTTAGTAACCCAAGGTATTTTTGAGGTGTTGCATTCATGGGGAAAGTATTAATAGGAAAATAATAAATACAGTAAATAAAAGACAATAAATTACGTTTGAACTCAGGACCTGGAAGACCTGGAAGGCTCCCGTTTATTTTTATATGATTATCTCTCAAAACCATCCAAAATTAGGGATTATGGGAGTGAGATAAACGAATAAAACACTAAAATTTATAACAAACAATAATGATATTTATTTGGATAAAGCAACAACAATAACCGTAACCCAAACGACATTGAAATTATTTTCTGAGAGAGAAGTCTGAAAGAAAGGGACATCCTACAAACCCTTAAAACCACACCAAATCTCCTTACTGCGACCACAACCCACAAATAATATAAATATATAAATACCATTAGATAAATAATACCTACATCATACTCGAGCTCTGCGGTCGTATGTGTTACTCGTTTTCATTTTTAGTTTGTTTCTTTGTTTTTTTGCTTATATGTTGGATAAAAAAAGATAAAGTCTTAGTCTCTATTTTTGTATTTTAAATGCAACTTTATCCGTCAAGAATTCCATCTGCATTAGGTATCCGTCCTCCAAATAAAGTTTTTATAATTATTTACTGTTGAATTTAAGTTTACTGTTACATGATTATGAGTAAATAAATTATCAGGCTCGAGATCGTTTCAATTGAGGGTTCAAAATTGTCTATTATGCATCATTTGTCGGCAAACTTTAATAAATTATTAATTACCATAAAATAGGTACTAGATAATCAAAATGATAAAATAACAAAAAAAATGTCTGCGTAGCGCAGTTAGATGAAACCAGACCGGCCGGCACCTAAATAAATTTACAGGAAAGTAATTCAAAATGGACTTTTACTTCAGGAGACCACGGACAGTGGTATAAATTAAATGTCGCTATCACCGTTGCTACTCACTCCAAATGTAATACCAAATAATTTAATATGACTGTTAAAAATCACTTAACTAATTACGGACGGGACATAAATGTGAATCTGTAAGTACAATTTAATAAATCCCGTATTCAAGAAAATCGATATCAAATACACTTAATCTACGCAGCGTTTATGCCCCTTTAAGAAATTTATTAAAACAATTAAATAAAATCAAGTAGAACCCTGCCATTTAGCTAGATAAAATCCAGTACAACCCTGACCTTTTAATTAGATAAAATCAAGTACAAAATGTTTATAATTTAGGATCTAAATTATAATTCGAGATAGTTCAAAGTTCATCATGGCGGAATAGATAGATCGATGACGCCCAGTCAATTGATCTATTATTTATCTTTACACAAGGCATTTGTGTAAACTAATTATACAAAATTGTTCGGGACTATTTACACTACAATAATTTAGTTATTAAAATGTACAAACCTATAAATTTAAGCCACCATTTCTTCCGGTTTTTCTCGAATGCTCACCGTTTTTCCGTTACCGTCTTGAATGCTGTCTTTTCCCCCCTTCCTTTTCCCACCTAAAAACAGGAGTGCCCGTCTTTTTATTTTTCGGCATTCTACGCCAAACGTTCGGCACTCTACGTCAAATACATTTCTGCTTCCTGCTAGATTTAAATGTTAGTTTATTTAAATGACTTTTTTTTAAACATTTTTAAACAATTTGTATCGTAATAACCCACAGATTGTTTAGTAGGGGGGTATTTGCAGATCTCCTCACACTCTAGCTTATACAGAGTGTTCACAAATTATAATATGGTATATATTTATATAAGGTCAAAAATAATAAAAAATAATGGTATTTAAATATAGCAAATTAATCTAATTAGAGCAAACATATGAATGAATGAACCATTTAAAAGTACCAGTACACATCTGTGTATACTCTATAATATTTTATTTATTAATATTATGCCTCTAATTAAATTAATATTTCAATATAAAATACCATTATTTTTTATAATATATAACCCCAATTTGTGAACACTCTGTATAAGCTAGTGTAACAAAACTAAGCGAATGTTTAGTTCGTGTAATACCTAAAGAAATGTTTTTTCAAAATCTTTGCTAGAATTTATACGGAGTGCTTAAAAAAATTGTTTTTTTTAATTTGACCTTACTTTTTGAACATACTGTTTACAATTTTATTATAAAATTATTTTTGGGCATGCCAAATTCATAAACGCTAGCTGATAGAGCTTTTCCAGTACTTCATACTAATTTTTTTTAATCGGTCCTTTTTCTAAATAAATACAGAATTGTTGCCAATTAAAATAAAACACAATGTATACGAGTGGGGAGAAATATTTACGATACTTTTTGAAATAACAAAATGCTGAGTGATTATTAGTCTGTCATATGTTAACACTTAATTCATCATTAAATTTTTATTCTATTAATAATGTGTTTAAAATTGTTGAAAATTGTAAATTACCTGTTGAGTAGACTCCTAGAGATATTATGGACTCATAATCTTTATCATACCATATTCTTATTACATCCATAATGCATTTCACCTTGCTTAAAATTGTTTCAGTCTTAAGAACATTGATTTTTTTGTCCTTAAATCATACATAATAATAATAAATAATTATAAATTAAAAAAAATATATCTCTTACCATCATTTCATAAATTTCCTTCATAAAAATATCTTCATCCCTTATCAAGTGGGATAAGTATCTTAATTCTGCCCTAATCACTCCCAAAGGAAGCGTTGAATTATCAACAGCATTTACAGCCCTTTCATAGGGCATACAAACGTAACCCTTATAAATGGTAGATCTTATATCAATAAAATAATCGTGGATGGACCCCCATATAGGGGGGGCTGATAAATCGGAAATAGGTACTCCAGTTTGGTTAGCAACCTTAAATAATGTATATTATTTGGAGCGCGTATTAATTTTCATACTATAACACTCATAAGTCTATATAGAAAGATTTTATATCAATACTAGTTCAAAAGTCAAATTATTATAAACCTCCGTACAAAAATTAACCTAACCTAAATATGAAGTGACAAAATCTTAAAGAAGTATTTTAATTAAATGCTTGAAAAAAAAGTATATAAAACACAACGGCGAAAGCTTATTTATTTCTTTACACAACATATCCTGCCTCGGCTGGCGCCTCGACAGTGAAATGCATATCCGGTTATAATATGAGCTTTCTCCGCCTGGTCTATTATGTATTAATTTAGAATGTAATGAAAATATTTAACGACTTTTTCCATACTTGTCCAAGAGCAGCAAGTCCCAGATGAGCAAATGGGACCACCACGTTTTTAATTTTAATTGTGGGTGCATATTCCAATATCAAACTGGCAAACGTACAATTTAGCCGGTTTTCGTTATAAAATATTATTCTTGTATCTCGTTTAGCTTTATTGTTTAGAACATCTGCCAATATTTGTGCTTCGGATTTAAGATAAGGCATCTGTTCTATGAGTATTTTATGTAGATCGTGTTTTTTGTTTCTACCAAGGGGTATTCTAAAAAAATGGTTATAAAACTTTTTATGTTTCAAAGGGCAATTTTGTTACCCCATTTTAATAAAAAATTAGTTGGTATAGTTCATACAAATAATTATAAAAGTTTTAATTTTTTTTAAGAAAATTAACAAAATTATCTATATCCCATGATAGATATCAAATATTAATTATTAGAAATCTTCAAATAAAATGAAGGGTGTCTTACTAGAAACTGACTATTTTGATATTTTAATCCAATGAAAATAGTTATAGATTTCTTTAATGGCGCTCGTTAACAAATTTAGTACCTAAATTTGGCTGGATTGTGCCCATTTCGTGTGGTGTATTTCGTTTATAGCCCGGAATCGTAGCAGGCCCTTCAGCGTAGACTTGGCTTTTAATGAAACTCCCAAAGTCAATTATATTTTAGTTATAGCTGATACTATTAAGCATTGTACGTTTAGCTTCAATGCAAACAACATTGAATGGATAGCCAATGAGTTCTAAGGAAATCACGTTTAGATGAGGGGAGCAGCTTTATCAAATGTAACGAAAATGGAGGTATTTTTAAGAACCCTAAGTGATCCTGGGTTTTAAAAAGGAGTTGTTTTAGATATTGGGGTACATCAAACAACATCAAAAGTTATTAAAGAAGTTGCACAAAAAATTGTGTTGAACAAAAATGTTTGGATTTCTTTTCCTCAAAACGCCCGTGAAATTAAATTAGCTAAAGATGGATGGACGATGACTGGGGCAATAGAAGCGATAGATTGTACTCACATTAGAATATTAATGCCAAAAATTCCTGGGGAAGAATATTTTGTAGTATCAATGTGCAGGCTACATGCAGTTATAAAGGAATTTTTACGTCTGTCAATGACAGCAGACTTTGGAGATTCCGAAGTTCATCCATTTTTTCCTGAGAATAATAATGGGACGTATTTGCGGGGGGATGAAGGATGTGGTATCGCTCCATGGTTATTGGTACATAAGGCGCATTGTAACAATCGCGTTAAAATTGAATGCTGCTTTGGGCAGTTCAAAAGGCCATTCCCAATGCTTAATAAAAACTGACCGAGTGTGTATCTTTATATTAGCAGGATTCATACTGCACATTGCTAATTATTTGCAGGATCCTGCAAATGACGATCTTGATGACGAAGGAGCACCTTTTTGTATGGCGTTGCAAGCTGATTGTGCGGCAGGTGTCCGTCGTGCAGGTCAGCAAAAACGTGATGCTGTTTCTCGGAGAATCCTTGCCGAACAAAGGTGAGTTTTATTTACATGTGACGAATTTAAACTGAACATTATTTAAATAAATATTATGTATTTTCTTACTTATTTTAATTAGGGAAGTAACATGTAATCATCTATTATTAATGAAATATCACAAACAATTCAGTCGTCATTATTATTAACATCATGTAAAAGTTCAGTATAAAGTACGAGGTGTGTTCAGAAAATATCGGGAATTTTCGTTTTTTAAAACAAATATTTATTTATTCATCTACATTAATGTTGTCGCCTTCAAAATAGTCCCCATTGGATATTATGCACATGTGCCAGCTCTTCTTCCAATACTCCAAACACTTCTAAAACTCGATCTTTGGGATAGCCTTTAGTTCTTTCAGCGATGCGCTTTTAATGTCATCTATGCTTGCAAAACGACGGCCCTTTAAGGTTCTCTTTATTTTTGGGAATAGGAAAAAGTCAGACAGAGGCATGTCTGGCGAATATGGAGGCTGGGGCATCATTACAGTATTGTTTTTGGCCAAAAATGTTGTTCAAAATTTAACAATTTTAGAACAAATTTTGCTGCCACGCGTTTCATACCCAAAACATTCGAAAAAATTTCATGGGATAAGCCAATCGATATACCAACATCATCAGCGACTTCTCTGATGGTTTATTACCATTTCTTCCACTTTTTCCATGTTTTTATCGGTTGTTAATGTGCTTGTGCGTTCGGGGCGCTCGTCGTCTTCAACGTCTTCAAGGCCATCTTGGAAACTCTTATACCACTTGTAAACTCTTGTTTTACTTATAGCAAACTCACTATAGGCCTTTGTTAACATTTTACAGAATTTATTTCATTTTTTAAGTAAAATTGGATAAAAATTCTTTGATCAATTTCTTTTAACGAACGAAAAATCGCCGAGCTCATAAAACACGTCTAACCTTAGCGGCTGCCACAGACAAAGTAAACAATGAAAACAGCTAAAGTTTTTATCATACTTCGGGGGCATGTATACCAACATAATAAAGAAAATTTTATGACAACCGGACCCTCCGAACCCGCGAAATTTAACAATTCCCTTTATTTTCTGAACACACCTCGTACAAGTACTACTCGAAGTACTAGTACTATTGAGTTCTCTTGATTGATCTTCAACTGATAATATTCCTTCATTTCAATATCAGGCTGCTATTAGCAGCACTTCCTTGAGCACGAGCAGCCTGAATTTGTTGAATTAAGCACATTCTTTGAAGGTGCTGCAAAAAATATCTTTGAAACTCTTCTGTTTCTTTGATTTGTAACTTTTTCTTCTTTTCAGGAGGCGACAGTAAAGTACTTGATTTGCTAGTGGATGGCATGGAATAGCCGGATGTTACTGCACCTATATCATTTATTTTGACTCCCTAAATTGATAAATAAATAAATAAATAAATAAAGTACATATAAACAACTTACCTGGTGCTTTATTTAGCACAGGACTTGCTCCCTGAACTTCCTAATTATAAATAGCATAAAATAGTAGTAGTACAATTTTCTTATTACCCGTCTTTAGAAGATCTGTTGCTTCTTTTACTTTGGTTTTCATATTGTTCAATTTTTGGTATTCTTGGTATACGCTTCAGCGAGTGCTTTAGCTGCTTACTCTTTTTCTGATTTGATTGCTGGAGTTTGCGGCTTGTCAAAAAGTATTTTAAAATCCTCTAACAAAATAATATCCATCTTCCACATTTTCAGCATCCTCAGCAGTTGGTTCAACACTATCGTCACTGTCACTCATGATTACTAATTTTAAAGTAGGTACCACAACTACCACAGAACAAACAACAAAAATCGAACCAATTTGAGATTAAACGCGTCCTATTATTTACCACTTACTAGTTTTTACACTTTTAACCTAAGTAAATACTTCATGTAAAAGAATACTAGGAAGTAAAAGCTCTTACTCCTTTTAATCATACCATGCATTTGTTTTTTATAAATCACAGGGTTTTTATTTTTGTTTATTTATGAAACAATACAGATAAAAATTAGTCTCGCCGCTTACGATAATTTTGCTGAAAAAAAGTGTCAACCAAATGGTCTTTTGTAAGCATAGCCGAGACGGACATATAGTGATATTAAATTCCGTACATAACTCCCATACGGTATGTTATACCTATAATAACTACAAAATTTTAACTACACTGAAAGAAATATATACTAAAATTAAATAAAAAAATAATTAGGGCAAATATATTTTATGTTTCATATATGGACTACCACATACATTGCTAAAACAAATATATTCGTTTGGTTAGCAGCCTATTGCTGCCCTAGCAATATAAATGTGTTAAATTTTACCTATTTTCTTTAAGCATAAATGTGTTAAAACTGACCAAACAGTTCTGAAACTTCTGGGTTGGCGTGGATTTATTATGTAAATTCTAAACAATAATATACTAAATCTTAGCATATCATATTGTCGCCTCACCGAATCAGCATAAAATATTTTAAAGATTGATACAATTTATGTTTGTAACTTTTAAGAAAAATGCCATGGTGTTTCTAGCAATATTTTTTTGCTGTAATTCACTTATAGTTTACATTTTATAGTAAGGGTAAGTTTATTTTTATTTAGATCTAACATATCTTCTTTACAATAAATGTAATACGAAATTTAACATACATTCATAATAATCAGTAGTATAAATGTGTAAAGCACTAGTATAAAATTTTTAGTATAAATTTGTATTTACTTTTTTGCAACAAATTTCTTTCAGTGTACCATTTTCATTTTATTAAAATATCAAGTTAGTTATAACTTTCAATTTTAATTCAATAATTTTTAAAATGTTTCAGTTATACTTCGTAATCAAAATCGTAAGTACCTACTCACTTTATAGGACTATATTCGCCCAAAAAAATTAAAAGATCGCATCCCAAAATAGCCTGTTCACAATCAGGTTCTGGTTTAACAAAAGATTTTTTCCCCATAATACCCATGTGGTTTATTTTATAGGCTGAATCGTATACTTTTTCTTTTACTTCAAAATCGTTTAGGTTTTTATCATGCAACTTTATTTCCAAACCCTTGTCAGTATAAACTGACTTAAGATTTATTAATTCGTTTAGTAAATAATCTGTTATTTCACTAGAAGCTCCGCAAATACTTATAATTCTTCTTCCTGGTTTATCAACAAACGTGCATTTTTCATCATGATAAGCCTAAGTAAAATATTTAAAGACAAAATATTTTAATTTTTTGTAAAGGCAATAGTGTTTTAGTCATCAGGGACGTACGCAGGCCCTGCGTCGCAGGGGGACTTAGAGGTCTGAACCCTTAGGTACTGAAATGTAAAACAGGTTTTTTTAAAGTTTTTCAGTAAAGTTTATGTAGGTCACTAAAACCCCCCGATTTTTTTTTCTGCGTACGCCTTTGTCTGTTATACCTCAATATTTTCATCAATGATACTTTGCAGCTCCTCAGTACTTAAAAACGATACCAAACCATAATAGTTATAAACATATTCCCAAAAATCACCTAACTCCCCAATTTTATATTTTTTTCCTCCTGGTATTATTTCCTCCCAAATAACTGGACTTGAGGTAAAATGCCAATCGTTTTCTGCATTTATTTCTTCTAAGAAAGCCTTAAATAAAATTTTAACCCAATAGAATAAATATATAATGGTTTTTACACCTTCCAATTCATGTCCAATTTTAAAATCATCTTGTACTCAAATTTTGGCAATCTACTGGCCAAATATTGCGCCACTCTTACAGCATGAGCAAATTTTGGACATTCAGGATTTCCAGAAAATATTATCATATCAAATACTTTGGGTTGTTTGGTGACAAGCAGTGTTTATATATAAAAAATCTTTATATTAGTCAAAATGTCAGTTTGACAAACATGTTCTTTGTTTAAGGTTCTTTTTTGACTTGTTTGCACAATCCACACATGTGTCAGATCCAACAGTGCAGATCATCACAGGGACTCAGATTTTTCTTAAATTTTGTGTATTTGATTCATGGGCTAGGATAACCATAAATCTCAATTTTGAAGGTTCAACGACAATTATAATTAAAATTAATGACCCAGAAATGAATTCTTTTAATTTTTAATTTAACGCATTTGTTTTCCTTATTTCTCAAGTAACTCTGTGCCTGTACAAGTTATTGAAATAAAAATTTATTTTCAGCTAAATTTTTAGCACATTGACTTACACGTCATACATATATATATGTATGTATGACAGGTACCTTTCCGTTACGGCCACGTCATTCATATATGTATGACGTATATCACTGCAGGCTGCGTCGTTCACTGATGTATGAAAGCCTATGCTTTATAACCCAGTCAGCACATGGATGTCCCAAGGACGTCCTACGGATGTCATCCTTGGATGCTCTGGACCTCCCAGGGATGTCCTACAATATCCCATGGACCTCCATAGGACGTCCATGGACTTCCAAATGGTGCACTTTTGTATGTCCAGAGACCGTCCCACTGAGGGTCACAATTGACCTTATATGGATGTAATTGGACCTCCCAGGGATGTCCTACAATTTCCCATGGACCTCCTTAGGACGTCCATGGACTTCCAAATGGTGCACTTTTGTTTTTTAAATAAAACCCATAAAATATGTAAAAATAACTTTATTTTTGTGAAAAAGTAACTGATTAAAATTTAAAAAAAAAAACATAACCGTAAGATAAATTATAATTTCTGTACTCATAAATTTGCACTTTTTGACCTTCTTTGAACTTTATTTTGAATTCGCCCTTTACAATGTTTGAGCCATGATTTTATCGCCATTTCAACTTCTTTTTCCGTGACATTTAGCAGCTTCTTTACTGCAGCTAGAATCATATTATTTTGGTAAAAAAATACATACAAATTGTTAAACTTACTGATAACAGCCTGACAAATATTTAAATTTTGAAAACTTTTTTTTTCATTTCTCTTTCCTTCAAAGTTATATGTTACTCCTATATTATCTGAAAGAGTTTTTGTGAGGCATCTTTTTACTGCTTCATACGGTTTCTCCCCTCCAGTGTTATATAAGAAGTCCACCTATAAAAATTGTAAAGTTGGTCGTACATTTATGCATATTATATATATTACATATTCATAAATTAATTAGGGTGGTACTTACCTATAGGTATATCTATATATTTTTATTATTCACTAAAGCTAGCTGGATTTAAAAAGCACTGAACTACGAACTATACTCTATGTACGAACCGGTAAAATCACAAAATGGCGAACAAGGTGGAGCATCCAGAGTCTCTGATAAAGAAGGCATCTGTTTTGTGCGGTGAGGAAGCAGCGCAACGTTGCCAGGTTGGGCGATTTGAGAACTGCCAATCGGTCTAAAAATTTAAAATTGGCGACATTATGGGCGAGTTCAGATGATTTTTTATAAATACCTTCTTTATTTTTGTTTTTAAATTTGCTGCTTTTAACAGTTTCTATTTACTTCATTTGTTTTTAAACCTACTCAGTTTTTAAAAAATTGCTCGAATGTTATTTTTACCAATCGGGTTTTATAAAATCTCGTTCATATCCATTATATAGTGGATAAAGCTATCAGATATAAATATTTATCTACATGCCCTAATCTTGAAGACTCTTTGTTGGTAATTCTGGCAACAAAAAAATGGCAACACTGCCAAAGCTGTACAGTAAGCTAAATTTAGACGTAATTTTGTTTATTTGACAACCTTCTTTATGTCTGTTTGACATGTTTAATATAAAAATATTAAATATTAGATTCTGCTCAAAAATATATATAATGATTATAGATTTAGCAAAAAAATGATTTTTGTATTTTTTTCTTTTCAATGTTTCTTATTACATAAATTTTATGTTAATAATACAAATATATTGAATAACTTTAATCAATTAAATCGAATACAAATCTTAATTTTGTTCCCCAGCAAAAATCAAACATTGTCCCAAACAGATGTTCGGTGGATATCCACAGGATGTCCAACTCGGAACGGCCGAAATAGATAAATAGATAAATAAGGAGATCCGTGGGAAATCCACAGTATGTCCAAGTCGGAACGTCCCAAATGGACCTAATCAGGAGGTCCATGGGAAATCCACAGTATGTCCAAGTCGGAACGTCCCAAATGGACCTAATCAGGAGGTCCATGGGAAGTCATGTGCTATCTGGGAAATGGGGTTTTTGTACGCTGGCCCCCCACTGATGTTCAGGTATACTTGGCCTTACGAAAATTGAAGAATTTTGGGTACAGGAATAAGAAAATTATATAGTGTGGCCTGGGGGAAAATTCCGCGATTCTGGCTTGGCAGTCAATGTTTCCAAAAATGTAATCAGAATTTGTTTATCTTTTATTGTTTTTGCACGAACATTGGATGAGCAGGGCCACATGTTTTAAATTTGCATATGTTAGGTATATATATATATATATATATATATATATTCGAAGATAATACAGCTTCTGGGCGGAAAGCCAAAATGAAATTTGTTCTGGAAGTGGTATACATACCATGGTAGATGCATCTTTCCAACATATAAAACATGTGGTGAATATGTGGTCCTAATCCACAATCCACACAACAAAGTCTGTTCAATACTAAAAATCACTAATTTATGCCAAAGATAAATTATAAATTGTATCTTGGCTTTCTACCTGGGAGCTGAGAAAAAACTATTTACCTTTAGTGTGACTAAAAACTACCCATATTTAAAAAACGGTACAACACATGTCAAAAATAGAAGGTGACCGATGTTAGAAGTGCATTTTATCATGAAAATAAGTTAAGTGCAGAGTCCTCAAAACGTAAAAATTGTAGGAGTTAGGCATGTTGATTAATGCAAACAACAATATTAAAACAAGTATCCAGATTTTTGTATATAGCAAAAACTTTAATAACTCCATTTCCCTTCAAAATTTGACAGCTCTTTTTGTTTCGTGTTGTCGTTTCATATGGCTCATTTTTGATGTGTCCTCTGTCATTTTTGACATGTGGCACCCGTCGTTTTTTAGTTACCTACAAAGTTACAAGTGAATATGTGGTCCTAATCCTTAATTCACACAACAGCCCAGATAGCACAAGTACGTTCGTAGGACGTTCGTAGGACTTCCACCCAGGACAACCCGAACGTCCTCAGGATGTCCGGGGTCTGCAAAAGTACGTTCGTAGTACGTCCACAGACTTCCGAAATAGACTGTTTCAGATGTCCTCAGGACGTCCGTATTTGACCGTCCACAGACTTCCGAAATAGGATGTCCTCAGGACGTCCGTATTTTACCCCAAGCTGTCCAATTCGGGACATATGAGGACCGAATTAGGACATAGTTTTATTATAATAGGGAAATGTAATACAGTGTTAACAAGTGTTTTGTTAATATATATATATATATATATATATATATATATATATATATGTATATATATACAGGGTGTCCGGGAAAAGGAGGTCAATCCGTTAACCATATATTCCTTAAGTTAAAACAATAAACCTTTCATAATACTATTTTTATTTATTTCTCCATTGAATTTCACATACCTTCATATCTCTAAATTATTTAAAAATATCAAGTGAAAACTTAAATTTTGTAGGGGTTTTTCCATATAATAAAAGTTGTTTTCACTTATATCATATATTTAAATACACAGAAATTTAACTAAACAGGGAGCTAACTAAAAACAGCACACGCTGTTTTATGAACAATGCCAACATGGCGGATTTCAGACTGCCAACTTAAAGTCACTAAACTGGTTACTTCCAATACCAACTGTTTATTTGGCGGTAAATTTGAAATAAACTCTTACAATTTATTGCATTAAAAATATTATAGGACAAATTAAATAATTTAAATGTTAAAGTGGAGAAATTTCTCCAATGGTATTTTTAATTCGTATTATACATTTCTCATATAATATTATTAATTCAAATTATTAATTTGGCGAATGTGATATTTTTTATTCAACAAATTAAAAATATAATATACCTAATATATATAATATAATTAAAAATAATTTTTTAAAATTTGTAATGATATTTTTAATGCAATGAATTAATTAATTTTACTAGATATTTTTAAATAAGTTAGAGATATGGAAAATTGCAATTGCTAAAAATACTTGACAACTAAAGACACAATTCCACTTAAGTGGATAAAGGGTCTATCTATAGACATATAAGTGAAAAAAAATTGACAACTTTTTTTTAAAATCTTTTATCGTGCTTGATTAAGGAGTATTTTTAATAAAAAACAAGGTGTAATTTTTTTTCACTTAGACCCGGGTCGCGACCAGAAAACCGATGGACGTCCTGAGGCCTAGGCCTATGGACGTCCTAAGGCCTAGGCCGATGAACATCCTGAGTACGTCCATCGGTTTTTTGCCTGCGACAATAGTTGAAGATACAAATTGATATATCACCTTTTATAAAGGCCTTTATAAAGGGTGATATATCAACTTGTATCTTCAACTATTGTCGCAGGCAAAAAACCGATGGACGTACTCAGGATGTCCATCGGCCTAGGCCTTAGGACGTCCATAGGCCTAGGCCTCAGGACGTCCATCGGTTTTCTGGTCGCGACCGTCTGTAAAGGATTTAAACCGGATGTCCTCAGGACATCTTGTGCTATCTGGGAGTCTGTTCAATCTTGTTTCGCGCATACTAAAAATCACCAATTTAAAGAACCCATTGCCCAGACTTTAACGGCGGCCATTTTTATGTTGTTTTAAATTCTGGTGCTTTGGGTTTTTGCTGTTTTTAAAGATAAAACATTGTGCCAGAGGCGTAACTAGAAAAAGTGCCGCCCGGGGCAGCAGTGGCTGT